CCTGGGGGCTGAGTGAGAAAAAAAAAATGTAGCTAAACCAGAGACGTGATAAAAATTCTCCTCATGTTATAGGCTTTGATATCATGGCAGTATAATTAAGATATTGGTAAATATGTGATTATAATTTCAGTTCAGCTGGATTTTTCCCCCACTAAACAAAACATAAATTCACGTATTTAGTTGTAATGTAGAGTTTACGAAATAGTCTCATATCCATATGCAAGTTTCATAAACCATTGTCATATTTGCTGTACTTTAATGACGGCTATTTTTATAGATAGAAAAGATGCATGTGAGAACCATGGTAAACAGGAGACAAGACTCATTTATATTTGTCAGTAGAATTCATGGAACTCATTTGGTTATGCATTTTTGAGTCATTTATACTTGGCAACCAATTTCACAAGTTTTCTAGAAATCCAATAAATTCAAAACTTTAATGGCTGGTAACAATGGGGTTAGTTCTTGTGGAATTATGAAGCTAATACATGCATGTATTTCTGTGTGTATTCATTACTTATCCATTACATCCACTTATCCATTACATCCACTTATTCATTACTTATCCACTTATTACAAATTTCACTTATTACAAATTTTACAATTTAGGGGTCAGGCAGGATTCTCAGCATTGAGGACAGAGCAGGGAAGCATGAGAAGTTCCTGCCTTCCTGAAGTTTATGTTCTAGTTTGGGAGACAGACAAAAAAAAAGAAAGAAGGAAGGAAAGAAGGAAAGAAAGGAAGGGAGGGAGGGAGGGAGGAAGGGAGGGAGGGAGGAAGGGAGGGAGGGGGGAAAGAAGAAAGGCAGAGAGAGAGGGAGGGAGGGAGGGAGGTAAGGAGGAAGGAAGGAAGGAAGGAAGGAAGGAAGGAAGGACGAAACAAGAATTTAATTTCAGTTAGTGTTGTTAAGTTCTATGAAGAACAAATGTGGGTTAATTACAGAGTAGTAAAAAGGTACAATTAGATTGGTTAAGAAGACCTCAATGAGAAAGTTTCTGTGTTGCTCTATGTAACAGTAAGCACATATGCTAGCTCATTAATATACACATTTATTTCTTAATATGCCTTCCAGTGTTTTACACAATGTCTAGCATAAGATGGGAGAAAAATGCCCTACTTGATTTGAGATGGAAGGCACTTAGCATTTAGAAAAGTCTGTGCACATGTGTAGCCATGTATCCCAAGTATAACATACAGAACACAATAGATCAATATTATATATGATTTATTACAAAGGTTTGAATGTAAAGCCCTACAGAGCCTTTCCTAACCATTTTTTCTTCAAATGTTGTCACTTCTTCCCATCATAATAACTTGTATGTATTTCTTTTGTAGCACACCCCACCTTGCATTGCCTTTAGTTGTACACCAATGTCTTTTCCTTTCAAGATTTTACTCTTTGATACAGCTTTCCTTTATATATCTTTATATTTCCAGGGCTTTACACCAAGTCTAGAAGCAGATACAATGTGTTTTAATATAAATGTGTGATAAAGAGATGCTACTGTATTTCAATTAACATGCTCAGAGCTGATTACATAGAAAAGTTTCACTGATTTATTGATGTTCTGAGAGTAAAATATTGTGTATAAGTGACCGAGCTGAATTCCAAATTCTAGCAACCCAGCTAGCTGACTTGTGCTTATTGTTGGCGATAAACATTGCAGCCGAGTTTGATTAGCAATGACAACACTACTGCTGCTAATGGAAATAGCTACCATTTATTCAGCTCTTTCTAATGTCGGCTGTTGGCCACTATGTACATCATCCTCTAAAATCCTGACAATGAGCCTGTGAAGCTGGTGTTATTGCCCCACTTTGCAGATAAGTAGTTGAAACTCAGAGAGAATGAAAAACTGGCTGTAGTCACCAAGTTTGTCATAGATTAAAATAGATTATAATAATGTGTATTCCAAATTATATTTATGAAATGTATGATGTATAATAAAAATAGTATAAAATTTCAAATAAAAAATTATAAATGGCTGCTATATATATATATATATATATATATCTTTGTGTTGTTATGTGGCAGGGATGATCTTTCCAATGCTTGGTGAGGAAAGGGTGTGAAGTGGCAGGGATATGTACTTTGGTAAAGTTTGGGATGGTAAATATATGTGTGAATGTATGTGTGTGAGTGTGTGTGTATATATATGCTCATCATATGCATAGATATTTGCATAGTTTGATACTATTTGTTTTGAACTGACTTATACTCGTTATGGTGCAATGTCAACTTTGGAGGACAGGGCTGTTTCTCGGTTATCCCTGTATCCCCAATGTAGGTGCAGTACAGTGTAGGCACCTACTAAATGCTTGTGTCAAAAATGAAAAATTAAAACAATGTTATCACTAAGGCAATTCATGGAATAGGAACACTTAAGATTTTTACTCCCATTAGCTTTAAAAACCAATGTCAACAACACGGGAAAACAACACATAAATATCTGTTGGTTTTTTTTTTTATTTTAAAAGCTCAGTGGAGCTTTTTTTATTCCAAGAATTAATCTATTTCAGTATTATAGTTCTGAGTTAGGCAATATGGTATGGAAATGCAAAACTTGAGAAAATCACACATATGTGGAAAAATCTAGCAATAGTTTTCCTTATTAAAGTCTAAAACTGGCATGTAATCAACAAAATAAGCAGCTAAATGAGGTATTTTATAAACTTGATGCTAATGGTCATTGATATTCAAACATTTACATATAGTCACTCAGCATGTCATAATGTCGACTACTATACGTGTGTGTTCTAATACATCATTCACACATATATACTCTGTAACTCAAAGTAAGGCTGCCACACTATAGAGCTAACTATATAGGTTCACCAAATATCACATGCTTTTCAAGTTATGGATTTTTTTGTTAATATAAACAAAGGCAGAAGAGACGTGCAGACAAAAAAATATCAGTAAGCTAAAAATCAGAAGTACGAATCTTTACAAATAAGCCTTTTCAGAAATATAAAAATAGGATTGGTTAAAAAGTAAGTAAAAGGATATTTTTGTCTTTCTATGGGGTGATGGAGGTGAAGGTCAGTTCCTCACTGCTGGTAATTTATGTTTATATGTCTCTAAGTACAGAGAAAGTAAAACTCACCCAAAATGCTTTCTAAGAATTTAAGCACACACCCTGTATTCTGTGCAGCTCAAAGTGAAGACCTGGTCCGGATATAAATGTAAGCAATTTTATTAAGCAGTCTTACTTTTATGTAATTATACACTTCAGACACTAGAAAAACCAAAATATGATTCTCAGTGAGTTCAACTTCCAAAATTACTAAGTGCACAGTAAGAATAATCCAGTCCACAGCGTCTATTTGTTAGAAGTGGGAGATTTGGGGTAGAAGCTCTTTATAGACTGTGCAGTGCAAGTGCCCAATTCTCAGAATTAAAGGGAGAATTAACTCCCTTTAGTTCATTCTCTGGAATTGGAACCACCTTGGGAATAATCTCTCACAGAATGACATGCTGCCTTAGACATCCCAGTATAAGCAAGACTCTTACAGTTCTAATATTTTTCTTAAATTAATATTTAGACCAAAATGTGAATGTGACAGGATTTAAAATTTCCCACCTTGTCTGATCTACTCTTAGTGTTCCAAGTGTAGCTCTGAAGACAAATTAAAGTGTGTTTGTTGAAAGATAGTGTTGGAGAGACTTATTATAAGGGCTCTAGATGTTACCTGCCTGTCACAGAAGATTTGTTTTTATGGAACTGAACGAGAGATTGTTGGTTTCATGGAAAATTCTATATTTTCAAACTTTTGATGTCCCAAATTTAATTTTACTAAATGATACCCATAGAGTGGTTATGCTAAAGTGATATGGGGATAGGTAATTGGAAATGAAGAGGTACACAATAAGCTAGGTGCTCCAGACAAAAACTAAGGAGGCATTTTTGATTTTTCCCATTCTTTCATTACTGCAAATGCTCTACACTCTGCTTTCAAAGTAAGTATTGATTTCTTTCTGTCTTCGCTTGAACCAGCACCAACTTCTGTCACCTGGACTACTGGGCTGGCTTCCCTGCCTCTGGCCTCCCACTGTAGACACCCTAAAATTCATTCTCCACACAACAGTCAGAAAGTGGGTTTTTTTGTGTGTGTGAGTCAAATCATGTCACTTCTTCTCTAAAAGCCTCCAGAGCTGGTGCCAACTGCAAAGAACCCAAATGTTTATCAACCAGTGAATGGATAAACAAATAATACATTCTTAAAATGGAATTCTTTAGGCAAAAGTGAACACCTGATACACACAACAACATGGATGAGTCTGAAAGGCATTATGCTGAGTGAAAGAAGCAGGACACAAAAGGCTACATGATACCATTTCTATGAAATCTTGGAAGAACTATAGGAACAAAGATCAGATCAGTGGTGGCTAGTGGAGGAGGACACAAAGGAACTTCGGGGTGATGAAAATGATCTATTTCTTTTTTTTTTTTTTTTGAAAATTATAATGTTTTATTTCTTTATAAAAAATGTATCAAGTAGTTTGAAAAGTGCTTGCTTACTTCACATTATATGACTTATAACATGGAGTGTGCATCTTATCTCTGCCTTGGCAAACTGTCATACTCCTTTCTAAGTTTGAATCAGCTTCCAAAATTTTATCCTTTGTGCCGTCAATGTCATGAAACATCTCTGAAAGTTCCTTCAATGTGAAGTTTTTCAACAGCATGACTTCTGAGACACATTCATCCTTTACAACTGCTTTACTCACGTAAAACTTTATATCTGCCTTCACTAAGTTCTGCCTCCTGCGTATCTAGAACTATTTCTTGAATGGCACCAGTGTCAACATTCCCAGGATCATCTTTATCTTCTAACTCCATTTACATCCCATCCAAATCCTGCAGTTTTTTGCATAGGACAGTCTCTCACTACTGTGCAAAGCAAGGACTGCCTGTAATTCTTGGAATCTTGAGTGCAAATTTCACAGTAGCATCCTTATCTGAGCTTGTAGCTTCACCAGGTAGCTTAACATTAATCAATTCATGTTGACTTCTGAAACAATGAAACCAGCCTTCACTGGCAGTAAATAGATGTCCTTGTAATTACCATTTTCCTTCAATGCAGCAACTAACTTCAATGCCAAACTGACTGGGATTTGTTTTTGATTACAGTCCTCAATCCAAAGAAGTAAATGCTCCATTTCAACCATCAGCGGCTTTCTGTTCCTTATATAAATCTTTGAATTCCTGATAAATCGGACAAATGGTGTTCTCTAAGAAAAACACCCTTCAATTTTATTCCTCCCCTGCATATTTCTAGTAATTATCTTCCAAGACCCAGGAATCTTTTCCCAACATCTCCAAGAATATAATTCCTTGAGATGAATCTTTTTGGCTAGAGTCTGGATAAAGTAAACAAAAAGGGAAAAAAAACAATCTTGCTTGGAAATGTCTGACTCATTCTTGCCAGCTTATTCCCTTCTTAATTCCCCCATTGCGGCAAAGGATCTTGCAGGAAAGAGTCAGTTGAATTGAAAGTCGACTTATCTTGGTATTACATTCTCATTCAAGCTCCTCTGAGGTCACATACCTGGAGACCCATCGGCATGCCACTGGATTCGCCTCAACTTTGGTCCTGCCTCGCCCCTTCGCATTCTCTCGCTGGGACTCACAAGAAGCGCGATGGCACTGGATTTAACCAGAGAGCACGGACGAAAAGGAGCCCACGCTAGCTAAATCCAGTAACCACCCTCCAATCTGATCTATTTCTTGACTGTGGTAGTTACACAGCTTTATACTTTTGTCTATAATCTTCAAACCCACGCACGAAAAGGGTGAATTTTATTACATTTACATGTGCGATGGTTACATATATATAGTACATATAGAGAGAATATATATAACCAGCACATATATGAATGTAATAAAACATAAATAATAATTACGTACATATATATAATATATATATACATATATACATACATATATATATATATGAGAGAGAGTGCCAATTCCATAGATACACTAAGTACTAAGTGTCCCCTGGAGAAAACAAGAGAATAAACCCATCTTTATAAAGTGGAGCTTTTGAGGGGCTTCTACCCCAAATTATATACCCATGAGGTAAATTATATCTCAATAACCATGACTTAAAAAAAATAAAATCATTCTACGGCCTCCTCCTGTACTTAGAATAAAAATCCGTACGCCTGACTCAGGCCTGTAAGTCCCTTTGTGAACTAGCCCGTGCCTGCCCTTCACCTCATTTCTCTCCCTGCCTCATATAGTTCTAGACTATTTAGGATATTTTCTTAGACATTTGATTTGATGTTTAACTTTTAAAACAAATAAATCATTAGCCTTTAAAAATGACATTTAATTTTTACTAATGAGGATTTAAAGTATAAAATTATGTGTTAATAATTCTTTTGCATAATACCTATATTTTCTCATAAAAATAAAAAAACCCATCTACAAATACTCTGCTGTCATCATCATAGGCATCCTGATTCTCTCTTTGTTCATGGAAAGGGAAGAGAAGAGGCAATAATTTTAAATGTCTGAGATCATCTTCAACTTACTTAGTGGCCAGGTACTTTCTGTCAGTTAAACATAATATAAGACAAGATGAATGTATGCAATATTAATCAATTAATTAAACAAGTGATTTTGATTCTATCATGTAGCAGGAGCCTCAAGGGGGCTATTTTTCACTTTATAAAAATATGAAAATTGAATTTAATTAAATAACCTCTCCTATTTTATTTACAAATATAAATGTAATATGCAAATGTTTAATCACATATATTTCAGATATACACCTTCAGGTATGTTGAATGTGAAGCCAACACACAAACATACAGAAAGTATAACATTAAAAGAGATAGAAACTCTGTGTAGAAAACACACACATCTACACCCACGTGCACATTTTATTCTAAGAAAAATATATTTTTCTAACAGTGGTATCATATAGAACTAAAAATTCAGTTCACATATCTGAATTAGATTTACAGAACTTCCATAAATGCATTAAAACAGATTCACATAAATCACTAAAATGTCATCTTAAAAAAACAAGTCACATATATTATCTGATAGTATACCTCATCACATCGGTTACATTTACATATCATGCACCCCAGGAATACGTCAGGACTAGACAGAATTTTCAGCTCATGTGAGACATAGCAAAAATACAAGTTGACTCTTCAGTGGGATTAAGGCACTTGAATTTTATAAATTTTTTTAATTGACTATTTCCTTCCTCTCTCTTTTTCTACTCCTTCCTCACTTTCCTCCTTCCTTCCCACTTCTCATTCTTCTTTAGGCTTCCTTTTTTCCTTACGTCACTTACAGAATATGGTTAATTGCAGGAAGTTTCCAGTTTATGGCTTTAGGATATTTTCAATTTACTCCAAACTTTTGCTGTTCATCATGAATACAGTCAACATACAGATTGCTTACTAGCCCAGAGTCCCAGAATTTGCTTCTTTTCTTTAATTTCTCTTTAAGCTATCCAAGAATAGGATGATATTATTCAGGAAACATCTTGTGCAATGATGCCGTATCCATCACTGGACTAAGAGATTGTTTTCAATTTTATAAGCCAGTGGGGTAAGCTTCTGTTCCCAAGAGAGGGCTTAAAATGCACTGGGAAAAGCTCTGCTTCTTGAAATAGCTGTTCACTGTTACAGATGTTCAGGTGACTGACTGATGCTTTCCTCTCCCCATAAGACAGCTCCTGGGAAGCTCTAGAATGTGACTTTAAACTGGAATGACTCTGGAGATAGTTTTGATATGGCATGGTCTCAAGGCATTCTTAGTCTGAAGTTCTTCCAGAAAGTCTGGTGAGTTCTAAACCTTCCCTGGCAACCCAATCTGCTCTGACAGCACAAAGAGGAAAATGTAAACAAGGGAAATATCAAGGTCAAGGTTTTCTTTGGTGCTTCCTGGGTGTCATATAACATAGTGGTGAAAAGCTTTAGCTCTCAGGTTAAGATGCTTGGCTACAATTCCTGGGTTCACCCCTGCTGGCTGTAAGACCAGAGCCTCAGTTTCATATTTATTATTATTTTATAGTCATAATAATACTCTTCCGATGGAATTGCTCTGAGGATTAAACTCAATTAACACAGAGCCTAGCACAAAGTAAAAACTAAAGGTTATCTATTAGTATCGTTGTAATTGCTATTATTGTCATCCTAAGCCTCAGAAGATAATTTGGCCATAGTTGAGAGACTGCTAGGGATTTTGTCCTTTTATCAACTATGAGAATAATTTATACAACAGCTGTGATAAAATGTATGTAGAGAGCTAAGCACATTGGTAAGTAGAATTCAAAAATGCAATTGGGTGCTGAAATTTAAAGTATTCAGGACTAGTTTATATAGAGGAAGGAAAACTTTGTTTTGAGTCAGGTTACTTTGTTAGTTCAGTTTTATGCACAAACATCTCTTACTTTGTTAGTTCAATTTTATGCACAAACATCTCATTTTCCTGGATTTCTAATTAGATATAATTTTTTTGGTTTTGGTTTTGTTTTTGTTTTGCGGTACACGGGCCTCTCACTGTTGTGGCCTCTCCCGTTGCGGAGCACAGGCTCCGGACGCGCAGGCTCAGCGGCCATGGCTCACGGGCGCAGCCGCTACGTGGCATGTGGGATCTTCCCGAACGGGGGCACGAACCCGTGTCCCCTACCATCGGCAGGCGGACTCTCAACCACTGCGCCACCAGGGAAGCCCAGATATAATATTTAAGGTCACCAAAATATTACTTACTGGAGGCGGCAGCTTAAGAAGAAAATCAATATGTGTTATATTTTTCTAGTATAACATTTCTGTGAGAAATTAGATTAAGATAAGAAAAATAAAATCTCCTGTTAAAGAGTTCCTTCATCATTTTGTAATACTCCTTATACAAAATGCAAAAACCAAAAAAAATCCTGTTTTATTTATTTACTGCACATACTTTGGTAAATTCTGTACCAAGTCTGGGAAGCTAATTATTAAAAGTGTATCTTCCAGGGCTTCCCTGGTGGCGCAGTGGTTGAGAGTCAGCCTGCCCATGGTAGGGGACACGGGTTCGTGCCCCGGTCTGGGAAGATCCCACATGCCGCGGAGCGGCTGGGCCCGTGAGCCATGGCCGATGAGCCTGTGCGTCCGGATCCTGTGCTCCGCAACGGGAGAGGCCACAACAGTGAGAGGCTCGCATACCGCAAAAAAAAAAAAAAAAAAGTGTATCTTCCAGAAAATAAATAGGTAAATGTTATTATGCTGTTTTAATATAAAATTAGTAGAAAATATTAAACATTATCTTTATGGTATCTGTTTCCTCATCTTCCTTTGTTTCTCATTAATATTTTTAATACTATTATTATTAGTGTACTGGCATAGAAATGACATACTATAAATACCAGTGAACGCTGGAGGTTAAACAAAGTTAATTTATGCAGGAAAACTCCAACTAGAAAAGAGGGAAAACCATTTTTTACTTAATAAATACACTATTAGCACAGGTCATTTTTACCTGCTGAGTATTTCCAGGCATCCAAATAATTGTTATTCTCAACTGTCTCTTCTTGTGTCTTAGCCAAGCTAAGCCACAAAGGACAAGCATCTCAGAGCTTAGTGAGTGCTTCTCTGCTGTCCCACATAAGAGCTGGGGGCAAGCCTGAAGAGTTTCCCAGAAGGGCTGAAAGCACGCAGCAGCAGCACCTTGGATAAAGCAGAAATGGCCTTGGATAAGGTTCACTTTGGATTCATCGTTTGGCTTTGTGATCTTGGGAGAGTTACCGATCTTCCTCCATTTCTTCACACACAAAACAAGAGGATGAATACCTACCTTACAAATATTTTTTTAAAAATGAGAAACAAAGGAAATAATGTTTGTACAATATTTGCTAAGTGTAAAATGCTTATTCCAGTTAAATCTATCACAGTAGTTCAAAGTGTGCTATCAGTTTGATTCTTGGTTCTCAGATGGGAATAATAGTCTTACTGCTCAGTTGTTGGAAGGGAGCTATTACATATAAAGCAGTTGGGGCAATTCTTTATATATTTTAATCCTTTTGTTATCATTAGTCCACATACTTAATGTAGATTGCAGGAGTGATAGGGAAATAAGATTAATTTAAAAAATTGAAATCGAAAAGGAGAATAACCACATGTTGTTTATGAATATGCGGTATTTAAGTTCTACATGTTGGACAGTGATCAGATGGTTCCAGGTCCAGAAATATTAACTGAGAGGAGTAATTTTGATCATTTAGTTTTTTATATTACTTGGACAGGCTCATGGGAGCATGAAATGAGATGGCTTTAGAAAGCCTTTCTGCCTTTGGCTGGAAATAATGTTTTTAATCGGAGGCTGTTTTGCACCTGGTGGAGTTTAACTTCTTCAGTAATTAGTACATGTAGCATTAGCTTTTTTGAACATTCAGAGATTCTTTTTTATCGTAAAAAGATTGTGTTTCATGATTCATGTAAAACATATAAGCTTATATGCTCTTTAAGATCTGATGAAAAGGAATGATTTTATTCTACATTAGAAACACTGGGCTGGTTCTTCCTAAATGTTAACAGGTGCAGTGAGGACAATAAAATTAATCACAATAAAAAAATTCATCTGGTCAAGTTTGAGAAACACTAGGTTAATTAAACAGTAAAAGTAAAGCTTCTATTGCAGCATTTCTCAGAATCATTACTGTATAATGTGTGTTGAGAATTTCTAAGCATGGCAGTAATTGTTTG